ATGCATATAATTCATGCAAGCCAACAATAGAAATAGTTGAAAAATTATTGTATTAGAGAAATCATAATTCTTTGTACTTAGTCTTCTGCATTAAATCAAATGGGATGGTGCTGAAATTTTTCTTGGCACCCAAAAAGAAGCAGAAACAGTGCATTTCAGTTGCAAATCTTCCTCATCCTTATAACAGTATTTAATTTTTTCATACTAAAAGTTCCCATGAACTTAAGTAGATGATCATACATATTATTAATATCATAACTACTTATTTGCCACCTCACAGTTCATTGTTCTTTCTCTTTTTTTTGAACAAAATTGATGCTTCAGTCCACCATCACTAGATAATGGAAATAATTATTCGTCTTCCTTTAGCTTTTACACTGAAGCATGAATTGCAGTATGATGCTGAAGATAAGACTTATACCAGGGAAGCATTACTAAAGCTAATATTTGACCAGTAATAAGAGGGAATATGTTTTGCATTATACGTCATCAAATGTCAAATCTTCAGACAAAAGCTGCAAGAGTTTCATTAAAATAATTTCCACTAACCAGACAAACCCTGAGTTAAAACATCTTTCCAAACATCTTAATTTTGTGATGAACACTAGATGCTGTTACAGCCTTTCCTTGCCATTCTCATTTGAGGTCATTAATTAATGCAATCATATCACAGCAGCAATTTAATTGACTTCATTTTCCAGGTGATCTCACTGTTCAAACCGAAAATAAAATTTGCATTTAAGGTACAATATGAAAAGAGAACACATACTTTGATAGCTGCCACTTTCAGTTACAGGTTTGCTTTTAATTTTATTTCAGAGAGCTAAAAACACCTGATAACTTTACCTTTTTTTAGAGTAAGGGATACTTTATGTATTTGCTATGTTTCCTTAGGTGTGAGGACTTTCCCAGTGTAAACTGCATTACTTTAATCATTTAGAGATAAAATAGCCTACACTACTCTGATGCCAAAAGACATGAGGTCTCTAACAGAAGTATAATGGATATCAGATGGCTGTCCTGAATCGTCAGAACTGAAAGTAGTAGAATGTTTCTTGAGATATGCCCAGAGATGAGTTGCCTCCTCAGTTTGTAACTGGAAGTGTTTGGAATCGGGGCAATAGAATTACCACAGGGCAGTGGTCACCAATGAAAATTTTGAAAGAACAAAACAGGATGTCAGGTTTCATCAGCCCCTGCAGTACCCAACTACTCTCATTTTTAAGATCCTCTAGATTTCTTTTTTTACCCCCCCTTAACATCTTCTGTGGCTGCAAAATTTTCCGACGTTATTAAGTTCCTCTGGCAAGTCAGTAGGACAGAAGAAATTTAGAAGTCACAGGCTAATTCACAAAAGCACATGGTTAAAATTGCTTTCCTGTCATTTGCAGATGTTTAGATATGGCGCTTAAATTTTCAGCAATCCCTGACCCTAAAGGCTGAAAATCAATGGAAGATCTCCACCTTAAATTTCCACGGCCACAGGATGACAAATATAAATGAGATGTGTAAACTTCAGACCAACTTTTAAATGACAGATTCCTGGATGTGAGGCCATAATGAACTGACTGTCCTGCAACCCCACTTCGGAACACATCCATCTTGGAGAGAGTTGGAGCTGTCCAAAACAGTCATGAAATAAGAACGATCCCTACCTGAGCTCACTCCGGACACACATACTTTGTGCTACACACGTATTCGTCTGGAACAGCATTTAGTCAAGAAGTGGGAATTAAATGAACCTGACATAAATAATAGGACCGTTTGAATTCCGTTGTCATTAATAATGGATCACATTGACTAGTGTACTGTTGGCAAGATGTGTCGTGCCCTTGTCCCTGTACTAATAAGCTGCTCTGCAAGGGTGGTGCTTACTGACACCAAGTGCTTGCACAAACTTTCACTATTCGTGCTGGTGGTAAAGATGCCTGGCTACTGTTACTGTTAGCCAGTATTATTTGCACACTATTCAAGAGCCCACAGCAATAGAACAGAACCCTGCCACAAATTAATGGGTCTCTACTGCTAAATCTCTACTGCTGACAGGAAACGTCAATGTAAAAATGAATTTAAAGATGGTCATTTTTCAAGCAACATGAATCTTCTGAAGGAACTTTATTACAGTAGCAATGTTATTTATTCCCTCCACTGCCCATGCAAAGAGAATGTGGTTTACAAAGCTACTGCAATAAACATTAGCTGATTAGCTACATCCAACATTGTCTTTTTGTTTTCAAGGTAAACATAAAAAATGTAACTTACAAAATGGCTGAGAGCAGCCTGGCTAGTGGAAGGTGTTCCTGCCCATGGCAGGAGAGTTGGAACTAAATGATCTTTAAGGTCCCTTCCAACCCAAACCAAAAGTTTTTCATCAGAGAGCAATGAATTTTTGTCACAGCCAAGTCTTCTGAAGATAAAGATGCTGCATTTCACTTTAGAGACGGAACTGCACAGGGACAAACCCAGAATCTTTTTTTAATGGCCAGACTGTTCCAGACTTACTTCTTGTCAAATCTCATGAGCATTGAAAGAGATTGTGGACAGTGATCTCACTTTCATCAAATACTTTCAAGGTCTGTAAACAGAACCTGATTGTAGGACAAACTTATCTATTGTTCAAAGCACGATTTTCTCCATTAAAATGACAAAAAGCCCCTAAGGTTGTTGGTATAGTTCTTACACACCACATCTGATATTTCTCAGCAGTGAAAGACACTGACAGCTCCCACTGACAGCCTCAGGATTTTCTTCACAGTAGTAAACAGGAACACCTGCACCTGGTCCTTCTATTAATGGCTATTTGTATGCATTCCAAACTCTTTAAAATCTGCTTTCCAGGAACATTTAACCACTTCAGAGAGATAAAGGAGACCAAATCTATACTCTGAAAAGATGAAGTAGCAGAATCTTCTGTTTTCTTCTTCAGTACACACATTCTCTTCTTTGTTTGTAAACAGAACTAATTTTAACCTGGCAAAGCTTTCTGTAAAGAACTACGAGTCTTCTTCACATTACCACCAAGGGTGCTGAACCTACTGTAAAAGGAAAAAAAATTGCATGCAACTAATTATATTACATCAAAAAGCAGTTTTGTTTTCATGCAAAAAAGTTCTTGTAATTTTGAACAAGTCCCTGGGAACTTTGTATCATGTGTTAAACATCAAGCTAAAACAATGGCAAGTAAGGTACATAACATAATATTGAAGGAAGGGGGAAGTACCTGTTGGGGAAGGTATTCACAAGGCTTAACATTAGCCCCTGCAGACTAACTCCTCAGTGGCTCTCTAGTCAATAGAGATAAAGGCTTCGCCAGAAAGCGATTCAGAACAGAAGATTCATTTAGCTCCTCTGAATCTCTCTGGAGGACTGTCACTTCTGTTAACTTCAGGAACAGCCTGCAGAGCTTAGCCTCAAAAAGATCACTCTTGCCTTTGTGAATACTCCCCAGTATTTGCCTTCCATCAGTGGATGAAACTCACTACTGAGATGTGCCATTGAGTATACTGTATTCAACTCCGAACACTGTGTATTGCACGGGCTGAATTTTACCCCGCTGGAGCTTTGCACTCCTGCTAGAATCACTGAAATGGTACCCCTACAGCTAGGATGACTGCAGGATTTCGTCTTTTCCACTGCCCCATTAAAATGCTCTGTTTGAAGGCCACCCGCACGCTGCCATACAAAGGACTGCTGTGCCCCAGCACTCTCAGAATTCACTCAAATCGTGCAGTCCCACTGGCACAGCTCCTTCTCTTGCTCTGACTGCTCCTTGTATCACTGGAGCAGCAGCAGCAGGAGCTGGGTTTTCACCATCAAACTAAACATGAAGAATAAAAATCCTCAACTTTTGAGACCTGCTGTCAACAATTTTTATGATTATTATTAAGTAGCAATAAGAAAGGAAAATGGCCTTTTCATCTCAAACACGGAATAAAGGTGGATTTTGTGACAAGAACACAAGGAAGAAAGCATTTTACTGACAGAACTATTATCAGGGCCATTTCCTAACTTCTCCAGTGCTTCTATACTTCATCAGATCATTGTGCTTCCCTTCCTGAAAAATTTCCATATCTTCAAATTCTATCAAAATAAAACTTCTATGTTTTAGTCCTGCATTTAACACCAGTCAAGTTATAACCAGAGCCAGACAATACAAACTCCAGGTAGAGCTGATTTCCAAAGTTTGCCATAAAGTATGGTAAGACAAACCAGTACAAGTCTGAAAGCATAGCATTTTACACAATCTTCTAACAACTCCCAAGCCCTACAAAGTCTGGTTCTTAACCTAAAGTTCCCTATACAACCATGTCAGACATGACTTAACAAAGTGAACTTGCACAGGTTAAATCAACTTGCAGATATCTGCTGTATATGTTTTAGCACTGGAATCAAGTCTCTTTACCAAACAGAGAAGCCACATTCAGAGTTAAGAAACCATATTATGACAAAAGTGTTGTGAACAGAGTACTAAAGAGACCAGTTATTTTTCCAAATGAACAAATCCTTAGCATGTTATATAAGCAGACTTGCAATGCAGCATGTCAAATACTTTATGCTGTGTTATGAGCTAAGTAACAGTGGTAAGAAATGTTAGCCAGCAACTGAAATAATTTTCATATAACCCTCAATTATATAAACATCAGAACATCTTATGTTCAAAATGCATTTAACCATGATGATCTTTGAAAAACTACATTGCATCTTTAGACAGAAAAAAAAGATTCCTGTTTGTTATATTCCAGTACCAGGTGCTTTTCAGGCATTCAGTCGAGATATTTGTAGCCAAAAATTACAAGCAATTAATTTGGCTCATCCTAATTACATTGTGGCATTAAATTAACATAAAGTATGTATTCTGCCTTTCAGGGGTGGCATTCTGTAGAATTCTGCATAATAGTCTTTTGGCTTGAAATGAATCTCACAGCACGTTGATCAGAATGTTAAAGGGAAGAGTTTTTAATTATTGTCAAAATCTAATTAAGAATATGAGAGAAGCAATGTTTGCATTTGTTTCATATAATTGTTTATTAAAATAAAAATACAGAATTTTACAATTTCTCTTGATTTGGAAGAAGTTTATAGTCAAATATTTATTTCTGAAGAGTTTTTCTCTATATACTCAGTTTACACCCACTCAGAAGGTCATTTTGTACTTCTGGTTTTTTTGACACATTGTCTGAACATCTTTCCAGAGCACGATTATTGAACAGGACAGTTGTATTTGTGACAGTACTCATTTAAGCAAGCACTACATTGCCCATTGCAATTTCTGTTCCACTCAGTAGAGAAACAAAAATGCAATATGGTAAGATTTTGCCAAATACATTAAAACATAGGGTAGATAACTAGTTTGAGAAAAGCAGCAATTTCTCTACTTAAAATATATAACTGATAGTTTACACCTGACGATTTATAATCCGAACACAAACATTTCAGTGAATTCTATGCTGTTTCCCATGTAACAGCCAGTAACAAAACGAGACTTGTGGAAACAATCAGTATTAGTTTACTGAAAAAGGAATGTGATGACATATTTGACCAGCACAAATGCCCAAATTACACTGCAATCCTTCTCAGCTGATGGCACTTCATGTGAGGAGACCAGGTCTCATAAATTCTCTGAAACTGTGTTTAATTTTACTTCACAGTACATCAAATGACATCAAATGTTTTAAGACACAGAAACATCTGTTTTCTCCTTTATCCAAAATACTTTTAGCAATTAAATCTTAAAATTACTTTGGAACATTTGGCAGCTATTTACTTATTTGAGTAATAAACTCCTGAAATTTCCCTTCTACTGGAGCTTAATACTTGAACCAGGTGAAAGCTGTTCCTCTAAACATGGAAGTAAATTTAGAAAAAAAATACAGGAAAAAAAAACTTTTAGCACTCAGTAGGAATAATTTCTTTGTAGCAAAATCATTTCCCCCTTCACAGAGTAGGCTCAACAATATCCAGTATTTTAGATATCAATTGATGGTGGCTGTGATTTACCCTTGTGGTGTCAGTAACACCTACAGTCAAGTCCATCTTTCTTACAGCAACAAAACATGAAATCAGCCCATTCTTCTACTAGTCAGGGAAGAATCAGCACATAAGTTAATAAAATTTAATAAGAAAATGAAACTTTATATCTGTTTCAAAAAAAACCCAAACAAAACCAAACCAAGTCCTAGGAAGTCATTTTTGCTAGCTTTAGAAAAGTTCAATTCACTAGTTGCATTTTGGAGTTCCAAAATAAATAGACCTCTGCCACACAGAAATGTCACTTATTGCACAGCTTTCAGGAGATGTTATGAACTCCCAACTCGATCCCTGGGAATAAGCCGTAGATCTGACCCATGCTTTAGAAATACATTTCCTAAACAAACACAGAAAACAGAACTTGTTACTAACCTAGAAAACACAACCTTACCTCAAAAAGCATACACATTTAAAGGATAACAATGTTAGGTCAGTGTTTAACATCTTCAAAGTAATTCCTCTAATATAGCAAAAATAAATTTCTCATATTTCCATAGAATTTTGTCTTGTGCTTCTTACTCCAAAGAACTTCTTACTTTTAAGTAAAAATGCCAGACCTTGCAAGGTGCAGCCTTTCAAACTTTGCACATCCACACCTGAATGTCTGTTTTCACTTATATGCCATAATAATTTCAAGACCAGAAAATGAAGTTGTACTCCTCCATTATTTTTTCATCTTGAAGTCAGTCATGCATTCATTCATTTTTACTTCTGTCCTTGGTTCAGTCCGTAATGGATTTTAGCTTCAGAACTTCAACCATACTTTACTTTTAGGAAGGCTCTCCAAATATCCAAGCATAAGTCAGTCTCATTTTAGCACTAACACCCCTTGAATTTCATATTTATTATGGCATTTTCTTAATCATATTAGTCTTATCAAGAAGACATAATATGAAAATTAGAAGTGTTTAATACTTAGATGCCTAGAATATTTTCTGCACGTATTCAGGACTCTAATTCAGGTTGCTGTTTTCTTCTATTAAATGTAACACTTGAAAATGAAGTCACATTGCTAAAAGCGATGCATTATTTAATTACTATATGGAACATTTTTTTTACTTCATACTGCTACTGCAAAAAATAGACTATATGTCATTCTACAATATCAGGTTTTAACAATATCTACCTATTCTTGTTCAACTTTGGATTAACTTGTAAAAACAGAATAATTTTATTTCTCTCCTAAGCACCCCACTCCAGGGATGTAGAGTGCTCTCGTAAATAAGACTAAGACATTTGACACCTGTTCAAGTTGTTTGTATATTAAAACAAAGCTACCCTTTTTCAACCTCAGGACCATGACCATTCTTTATATTCAACATAACGAGAATTTGAAAATCATTTCAAAAGAACGTGTTATCAGAAGACAATCTGTTTTTAGAGATCTGCCAAGACCATTTCTATAAATCTGCCAAGACCAAGATCTATGAAACCCACTGAATACAAACCTGTCCCACCAGCAAACCAGAGAACTGCTTAATAATCTTCATACTGTAGATGAAAAGCATCTGTATTACAATGGCCATCATAAAACTCTCAGCACTTTACAACAGGCTGCAGCTGCATCTCCTGAAGACAGTTCACCCACCTCTCAGTCTGTTTTCATTATTAATATCATGGTGGTTTTATTAATTAAAGTTATGGCATACTATTCCCTGAACTATCAAGGATTTAAAATTGAAATCAATACAGGAATTAAGCGCTAAGCCCAGCCTTTTCAGCTTTCATTTCCTCTGCTCCATGAAATCATGTAGGAAGAATGAAAGTCATAGTTGAGCACTTTATTCAAAAACGCGGGGAGACAGTGGAACAGTACAAAACTTCTGAAAGTAATCCCCAAGGATTACTATAATTTTATTCCTGCATACCTTATTTTGGGAAGTTTCTGAAGACTAAAGTAACTGTTTAATATACAAGAACTTTAAAAGATGAAAAAAATAAAAGAAGGAAAACAAAGGTATGTTTTATTCTGAGATGCCAATTAATATGGCTGAACATAAGATTCTATGTAAATTATATATGTTTATTTGTAAACTGAGTAGGAATTGGGTCTTGGATTTAGTGTAGGCTGTTTTTTGGTTGGTTTGTTTGGGGGGTTTTTTTGCCTTGATTTTGTTGTGGGATGTTTCTTTTTTTTCCAGTTAAAGGCAATATCACACAGCATTGTCAGGGCAATAGCATTGTCTATGTTAAAAAAAAATAATCCATGTGCCTAATTTTAGATTTGCAAATTAAGACTGTGATGACAACATTTTGCTTCTAGATGCTTTAGATTTACCTGCTCCTTGGTTATGAGATGCTGTCTTATACTACTACTGAATAATTCCTCAGCATTTTTAGAGCTTAGGAGAGGTAAAGCAAATCAACTGGAGATGTGAATTAAATATGCACAGCTGTAAGAATGATGAATTACCATATAGATGCTTTCATTCAGGAGTCCAGTAATCCTAAATACATTTACTTTGCAGGATTAAGCTACAACTAATTTGAACTACATAATACTGAGATTCATACACAGTATTACCTGCTGTCTGTGCAGGGTTTATTCCTATACCATCTAGAAAAAAAAAAAAAGAAAAAAAAGGAGAAGATGAAACAGATAAACATATTACAATTTACTACATTAAACTTGTAGCTCAAAAAATACACCAACAAGATATAACTATTACATTAAGTCTTCATGCAGCTATTTCCTACAATCAAAACCAGTCTTTTCATGGGAGCTAACAAAAAACCTTCAGCACAGAAAAATCCAAACTATATATTTGGACAAAACTGAATTAGTGGTTTAGTATCTTCATCCCATGCATAAGAAATTTAAATAATGCTAAAATATTATTATATTCAATTTGCAGTCTGTAGAGGTTGTGAAATATGAGACACTATTGCTTTTATCAATATCTTTTCACTGAAATTTCAATACAAATACCATTAAAAAAATATATAAACTATATTCTTACCGTTTGTTATAATGGCACTTGTCGCTGCAGGAACTTTGAACTAAAGGAAATAAGAGTAGGACAAAATAGCATAAGAGACATAGCTAAGGCAGAAAGTATATAGGGAATATCAAACTATAATTTTAGCTGGTTCAGGTACAAAAAATGAGAAAAGAGTTCCTTCAGATTTATAGATACAGCTAACTTTGTTTAATGGAAATGGATGACTATTTTAGTAATAATTCCACAAACGTAATGGAGTTTTTTTAATAAGTGTTGTGCAAATGTACACGTGAGACATGTACCAAGTAGCCTTAACAAATGAAGGAAAAAAACCCCAATAGAGACCTCACATTGTAAATGAGAACATTAACACTGTCACAATAAACTGTGATAACCCTGTAAAGGACTATACATAAATAAAGACTTAAAACAACGTTTCTAATATTCTACATTTCAATTTATGTTTTTTATATATAGTCTGTAGGACAAACAGAAAATAAAAACTAAGGAAAAAGTTCAATTTGCATTATCCAATTTCTCACTGCCAAATGTATATTGTGGGAATGGCTAGTCTGGTACAAATGACTGTGTGTCCCCATTTAATGATCCATTTTTCTTTCACTTTTAGCTCTGCCAATCCTGAATGGTGTACCATGAACTTCCACATGTTATATAATGTACTAGAAATGACATAAAAAACCCCTGTTCTGTGATTCAGTTATTTCCAAGAAACAAAAAGTGAAGGAACATGTTTTGTACAATGAAAGTAATTCAGAAATTTTTACTTGGAAAAACTAACCTTTGACAAAGCACTGTGACTGACACTTGATATATAAGATGATCCTTCTACATCACAGCTACAGTTCTACTGTTCCAGGGATATTCTGGTTTTGATCTGGCCAAACTTTAGCACTATGAAAGATGTCTCAGCAGAAACTTGGAAGGCTTATTAGCCAGAATGTAAATCCTTCTCTGCCCTAAGAGCTTTAGTCACTGAGAGGATAACGCACTTCCCCTGGAGATCAACAATTTTGCTCACATTTTGATCTTTTCCACATATGTTTCATACAAGGTACTGTGAAACTGGTACCTGAGTCACAACAACCTGCATAAGTTTTTGAATTGTTTACACAATTCAAGGCAAAAAAACCCCATTCATATAACACGAAAATGATCTCATTTTTTTCAATGCTGATTCACAAAGGAACTTCATTCCTGGGGAAGGGCCTAGACAGTCTTTTTTACTCTCTGTTTAAAAAGCACTTTGTTTTGCCTGGCCTCATAGAGATGCAAAAAGCTTCAGTGCCAATCCAGAGTGGCCTGAGGTCAAACAGCAAAACTCCCATGAATACTCAGAATACTCACAACAATTAAAATAATGGTTTGCTAAATGTGAATATTTAACTAAATAATCCTTCTCTAAATCCATTTCTCAGATAACCCTAGGACCAACTAACATTGTGGTTCCACAAGTAGGTAATGCTAACAGGTTCAATGGCATCTTTCCCACCAAAAGTGGACTCTCCCTCTCAGTATGTCTGACTACTCAGTTCCAATCCCAATTGTTCCAGGTCCCTCATACTCGTTTATTAGACTTTTCAGTCTAGGTCTCTGTGTATGGATTGTGCAGGCACAGTTGTATTAGTTCAGAATAAAAATAACTGGGGAAAAGAAAGCAAGTTAAATGATCAAATATCTTTAACAGCATGTAATATTCTGTATAACGTTCTCTTCAAGTAAATTCACAACAAAAACAATCCACAACCTACCCTCACAAGCTGTCGTATAGCAGTATAACAGTAACAGCATAAGGAGACTCACGACATGGAGTCCATTACCCTTCCTAACTATTTTATTACAATTCCAGTGCTTAAACAGATGAAGTTTTCAATAACCCAAGATTTCTCAGGTTTTCTTAAAAAGACAGAAGGGGAATTCCAAGAACAGACTCTCAGCTGAATCTTTTGCTGATTAGATGAAGAGAACCCATCATGCTTTTGAGCACTCGATTTTACTGTTTACACCCAGTGAATGTCTCCTAATCTTCACATGCTGAATCTGAAACAACATGATGCATCTCTTCAAATATGTTACATGGGCAATTTACACACCTAATGGTTTAGGATTCCATGTGAAAGATCTAACACCCAGAAGCCAAAGAACATGTTATTCCCTTAGGTGAGTTTTTTGAATCTAGCCCATATCTAATCTCAATATTTTCTACAATCAAGCACCGTATGTCATCCAAAGTCAGAGGTTACTGGAACTGAATGTGAAAAGAGTGTAAGAATTTCCTGAATAATTCCAAAGAATTTCATGGATATTCTACATAAGCAATTTTTAGTATTAAGTATTCAATAGCAGTATTTTTTAATTCTCTTCACTGTCCTGAATTTTTACATCACTGATATAAAACAGTTTAATTTAATTGCAAAGAAGAACAGGAAGCGTGTCAATGTCTGCTGCTGAAGTGTAAATTGCGAAGAATCACTGAGCTTAGGATTCTGAAAACTTTGGCAAGCCCCCAGAGGCCAGGAAAGCTTGTGCCCATCCATAACCAACTGCAGTGTTTTTTGTGCTGAATTAACCATTGTATTTTGCCACTAAAAAGGCTTGTTTCAAGAATTTTCAAAATGTTAAAAAACATCATTGCTCTCTACTTACTTCTTCTGCAGCGAACTTCAGGACGGCAGTGAAAGGCGTGCTTTCAGGCACACTTAACCTGAAATTGCAATGCAAGTAAATACATGACTGCCCAGACAAAACAAAAGGCAATTTTATCTGCTATTAAACTGCTAATTGCAACTTCACTTTTACCAGTGGCTGTGCTCTTGCCAAAGCTGTGCAAGCACTATTTAAGTGGAGAAGAGGACCCTGGTGGGTGTGAGATGCTTCAAAAGAAGCATTTTTAGCAGAAAGTGGGAAAACGTAGGAGTTTCAGCAGCTGTGGGAGCTCTCAGGAGGTGCAGCATTAAGCTCCGTAGCAATGTCCTCTCCAGGACGAGAAGACATGGCCTCAAGGTCTGCCAGGGGAGGTTCAGGTTGGACATCGAGAAGAATTTCTTCACGCAAAGAGCTGTCAGGCATTGGAACAGGCTGCCCAGGGAGGTGGTGGAGTCACCGTCCCTGAAGATGTTTAAGGAGAGTTTGGACGTCTTAGTGCAATGGTCTAGTTGACATGATGGTGATCGGTCATAGGTTGGACACGATGATCTCAGAGGTCTTTTCCAACCTCAATGATTCTGTGACTGAGACAAAGCGGGACAGCCCTGAAAGGCGAGTTAACCACGGGACAGCACCCGTCCTTCCATACGGAGGGAGACAAACGCCGTTCCCGCCGGCGGAATGCCCTGCCGGGATGGTCATTAGAAGCCGTCTACGTTCGCGCTGCCCCCCGTTTTCACCTCCCCCTCGCCCGCAGCGGCACCGGCCCGGCCCAGCACTCACACTTTGTAGGGTAGCCGGGGGTCCGAGGTGAGCGTCACTTTAAAGGTAACCTTCGACCTGTGAAGAAAGCAGGGTTTAGGGATGTGTGAGGGGGCTCGGGACCCGCGCTGGCTCCCCCCTGTTCCCCCGTCCCTCACTCACATGGCGCTCCCGGCACCGCCGCCGCTCCACCGACACGTCAGCGCCGCTCCGGGGCCTACGCTCACCCTGGGCTGCCCGCAGCACGCCTGATCATAAAAGGAAGGCAAACATGCCCCGCCGACCCTCTACGGCGCAGGAGGCGGAGGTGTTCTGCCTCGCCGCCTCACTGGAAACGGGAGAGGGAGAGGCTGAGGGGCGGGCGAGGAGCGCCGGTGAGAGGCGGGGAAGATTTCTAATGAGGCATTGGCTCCGGCTGTCCGCGGCCGAGGTAGGACCCAGGCGCCGGTTCCCGGGCGTTTCCGTGGGTGTGTGCAGGGACGGCCGGGGGCAGAGGGGGCGGGAGAGAGAGGGACGGGGCGGGTGGGAGTGGGGGCAATTACGGGCTTGGCGGCTCTGGCTGCACGTGTCTGTATGTAATGGGGGTGAGGGGAATGGTTCTCCGTCGGGTTTGGTTACCAGAGGCCACATCTGGGGGGTTGTGTCCAGATCCAGACTCCTCAGTACACGAGAGACACGGAGCTCTTGGAGAGGGTCCCGCGGAGGATAACAAAAATGATGAGGGGTTTGAAGCATCTCCCATATGAGGAGAAACTGCGGAGCTGGGCCTGTGTAGTCTAGAGATGACTGAGAGGGGATCTCATTAACGCATATAAGTTATGGTGGCTGCCAAGAGAATGGTTCCACACTCTTCACTGATACCCAGCGACAGGACGAGGAGCAATGGCCATGAACTAAAACACAAAAAGTTCCACCTCAACATGAGGAAGAACTCCTTTACATTGAGGGTAGCAAAGCACTGGAACAGGCTGCACAGGGAGGTCACAGATTCGCCCTCTCTGGAGACATTCAAAACCCACCTGGATGTGTTCCTGTGTCACCTGCTCTAGGTGACTCTGCCCCTTGGTAGAGGGGTTGGACTGGATGATCTCCAGGGATCCCTTCCAACCATAATGATTCTGTATTGCTCTCAAACCAAAATGTTCTGTGGGTGCTCGTTGAAGTTATGCAAGGCAAGATGGATGCAAACACTAATTCTCACCCCATTAATGTTTAACACCGTTTGTATCTTCCGCAGAAAACCAGCCCATTCCTGTTTTGTTTGTCCCTGACTTTTGACAAGCCAATTTCTCTTAAACTCTAATAAAAAAGTGGCATGGAACTGCAAAGTAATTTTTGTCTTTAAAGCTTTTTCATCCCTTAAGACAGATGATGACCAAGTTTCCAGCTATGGGTATGTCAGTATTAGCACTGTAGAAAATACTTTGCCAGACTGCTTTCATATCTTCTCCAGTCTCTCCTGTCCACAGGAAGGACAGCTTTCACTACAGACTGAGGTGCTTATTATCACATACTGCTTGACAGACTGGTCATGGCAAAGCGTTTTGAATGTTTGCTTTGTAATTTTTTACCTAAGGACTGGCTTGGTGCCCAGGCATGAAATCCAGCTTTTCACCCTTGTGCTGTTCTTATCTGACCATAGACAAAACTGAAAAAATATCAAAAAAGAACAAGGAGAAGAAATTCACTAGCAGCTTGTACAATGGCATTAATATTTCCCTATATCTCCTACATTTATGTTACTGTGTCTGCCTTTCATAATTGTATCAAATTGGTGGCTCATGCACATTTTGTAATCCGTTAGTGATCTCACAGCTTTTTCATCCTCCAGCCTCTAAGAGATCACACATGTAATTAGGACTAATTAATAGATGTCTCTAGCATTTAACTTTGCATTTTGTGTAGCTAAGTGCCATCCCATACTTGTTCTTGCCCTTTTCAAAATCAGTTGGCTTTGTATGTAGGTACCATGTTTATGTCTTTGATTTATATAGCTCGTCATCTGCAGCTTTCATTAATGCATTGCTGTTTTCTGTTCCAAGGTCGTGAATGCAGATGTGAAATAAAAGACTAATCCTTTTAGAACTTAATTTCTTGCCTCTCACTCTTAGGTACTTCCCCTCTGAGGAAATAAGCAGACACAAATCTTCATGTTGTTGAAGCTGGACTGCATTTAGTACCCAGATTTACTTTGTTAAATCCAGATTAAACATATGTGTACTATAATGCTGACAATAGTCTAAATCCAGGCCTGAGTAGTTGTGCGTTCTGGCCACATGGTCTTGTCCTCTGTCAAGCAGAGGAACCAACATTTGTGATGTGGTAACAAATCAGTTCAGGAAATTCATTTGGCAAAAAAAACCCCAAATTTTCCTTTTAAATGGTTTTTATCTGGTTATCTTCTGAAACCAGCAACAAAAAAGGACATTAGAGAGAACGTCTGATTGTTGGTGAGACTGCACTGCATCTTAGGTCAGCTTAAGGTGCTGTGGAGCTGTATCTTAAGCAGGCATCAAGAATTTGATGGTACTGTCAGGGGCTGACCCTGGCTGGGCAACAAACGCCCACCAAATCTGCACTATCATTCTCCCTCTCAGCTGGGCAGGGGAAAAAAACATAATGAAAGGCTGGTGGGCCGAGATAAGGACAGGAAGAGATCACTCACCAATTACTATCACAGGCAAGACAGACTTGACTTGGGGAAATTAGTTTATTATCAAATCAGAGTATGGTAATGAGAAATAAACCCAAATCTTAAAAATACACCCCCCCCCCTCCATTCCCTTCCCTTTGGGACTGAAATTCACTACCTCTTCCTTACACAAGGAAAGGACTGCTTACACTCTTCCCCTGCTCAAGCATGGGTCCCTCACACAGGGTTACAAGTCCTGCCAACAAACCTGCTTTGATGCCTGGATCGCCTTCTCTCCCTCCTTCTCCACTGACCTTGGTGTCTGCAGAGTGTATATTCTCAGTCCTCTCTGCTGTTCTTCTGTAGGTTTGGGGGTTTTTTTACCCCTTCTTACATCTGTTATCCTAGAGGTGCTACCACTGTCACTGCTGGGCTCAGCCTTGGCCAGCAGCAGGTTCGTCTTGAAGCTGGCTGGCATTGGCTCTGTTGGACATGGGGGAAGCTTTTGGCAGCTTCTCACAGAAACCACCCCTGTAGTCCCCTCCCACCACTACCAAAACCTTGCCAAGCAAACCCAATACACAGGATCAGGATCTTCTGATGTAAATTCAGGAATCTAAGTGATTTCATAGCTCTCCAGTGCTGCAAATTTAGAATTTTACTATGCTGTCTAAACCTGTTTAGAAGGCTAGCAGGGTTGATTTTTTTTCACTGAGAATTTACAATGAATAAAGGAACAAGAATGTGCATGATTTTTCTTTCGACTGAGAACTTGACGTCCTGCCTTGCAAACAAGCCAGGGATGGTGTAGAGGACTGTATTTCAGTGATGAGTTTATACACAACAACATTCTCCTCAACTCCAGAAAAACTAATTTATTTCCAAAAGAAGTCTGCTATCCTTTCCCTGTGAGTAAAACCAGAGAAAAAAAATAGAATTCTTTATACAATTTGTTTTCCCTACAGCTCTTAATTACCCAGACTTAAATATCTTGTGTGATAGCAATGAGACCTAAGTTTGACTTTTCTAGCTCTGTAGATGACAGAAGGAATGACAGTTTCAACAACTGAGATATCTGGCAATGTATTGCATTTGTGCAACGGAAAGCTTTTAAGGAAAATGTAAAAAAAAAAAATTCAAATGAGAAAATAACAAAAAAACGTCCCCCTGGATCCTGTGGATGTGACTGAGGTGAACTAAAATACCTCTTACAACTCTTTGGAGAAGTCCTTCTAGTTAATATCATAGCAAGAGAGAAAACAACTGCAGTACATAGGAGCTATGCATCCCACATGTCTGTATTCCACCTGTCTGGACCTAGTTTGAGTTGAGAGAGAAAATAAAAAACAAATAAACAAAAAGTGAAATTTAAAAAGTACCAAAAAAATTACCTTGTCAAGATCTACTGATTGGTATTTAGCTGCCTGAGCAAGATGGTCACTTTTCAAAGAGTAAAATTGTTCTAGAAGGTGCATCTGTTTCTTGAAATTACATGGAACATGTAAAATTACATTAGGGGAGTAGAGGGAGCTGTTTGTTTCTTGAGTAGCTGCATTACTGATGGAGGCATGTTCTTACTAGACACTTTAGCCCGAATACAATTTCCCAACATTTTCTGAGTTGCCATGATAAATTACCAAGATTATTTTGCTTATATGCATCACAGGGAAAAAAAGTTCCTTGACAGCGTTTTTGAACCACAACATAGAGTACAAAGTGCTGGAGAACTGTGTTTAAAGGAATGTTATTTAGCCTGCTTTAATTCCTCCTGCTCTGTTTCCTATTCTCCCCTCCTGTAGTCCATGTGAGATACAATATATTGCAGAGTATTCAATTAGAGCTGCCCTGTGATACAAAACAGGGACTTATAATTTTCCACTTATCCAACAACAGGTAAACATGACCACAGTTTGGAGTCTGGCCATAAAATTACGTTTAAGTGTTTGTATCTTTGGAAGATTTCTCCTCTGCTTCTGAAGCACACAGTGTCACTTAAAATCTTTTAACTATCATTATATTTCTACATTCATGAGTACATGTGCCGTTTGAAGAACACCAATTTTTATGCTCCCAAACAAGTGCCCGTGTGGATGAAGAGGTTATTATACAAGCATCTGTGGAAGTATCAAATCTGAAATGTTAAGAAAGGCAGTAAAATGTCTCCCACCTGCAAAACATGCTTTTAGCCTTGGCAGTTTTGGACTCAATGAGGAATGTTTGACTTCCAGGAATTTTTGCTGAAAAAGCACTGAATTAAGCCTTTTAGCAGCTACCCAGAAAATTAAATCTTGGCACCAGCATGCTTTTCTTCTATGCTCACAAACAATGAATTAAACAAATGAGCATTGCCAAGCAATGTGTTACAGGAGGAAGAGGGAGGCAGAAGGCTCAGTGTTTCTCCAACCAACCACTTCCATACTGAGCACATAGATAACAGTGTGATCCTTTCTGCTCTTAGTGAGGCTGTGATTTCACCAGGTGTATCTAGCAGTGCTTACTCCCATGAATAAGGAGAGGTCCTGTTTTTCAGCCCCACTTCTGCCTCACTATCTGGCCTTCTGCCTGCTGGCTGCTCCTTGCCCTGTGATCTGTGCTTAGTGAACCTACAGTGAGTCAAATCAGGAGAGGCATAGATGTTTCTCTGCTGGTTCAGAGCCTTGAGTCAGGGAAA